ATAGTCCAGTCTAATCTTTGAAGAGTTGGCCTCGGGAATGGTTTTAGTTTTGGGCTAACAGAGAGTCCGGGGGTCATGTCTTCTGGGGTTCCTCCAGTCTCAGTCAAACCATCAAGTCTGCTCTTTTTACTAGAATTTGAGTTCTGCACCCCACTCTTCTCCTCCGTCAATGACTCTCTGTTGTGTTCCCTGTCAGGGTGGTCAGTGGTGGTATCCAGGCACCATCTAGTTCTTCTGGTCTCAGGCTGATGCAGTATCTGGTTTATGTGGCCTTTTCTTTCTCTTGGGCTAATACTTTTCTTGTGTCTTTGGTGTTCTTCATTCTCCTTTACTCCAGGTGGGTTGGGACCAATTGATGCATTTTAGATGGCTGCTCGCTAGCTTTTAAAACCCCGGAAGCCACTCACCAAAGTGGGATACAGAACATTTTCTTAATAAACGTCTTTATGCCAATTGACCTAGATGTCCCCTGAAACCATGGTCCCCAGACTCCTGCCCTTGCTACTCTTCCTCAGAGAATTTGGTTGTATTCAGGAAACTTCTTAGCTTTGGTTTAGTCCCATTGTGCTGACTTCCCTTGTAGTGTGTGTTGTCCTTCCCTTCACCTAAGATAATTCTTGTTTACTATCTAGTTAGTGAACACCCATCTCTCTCCCACCCCATCCTCGTAACCATCAAAGAATGTTTTCTTCCGTGTTTAAACCTTTTCTTGAATTCTTATAATAGTGGTCTTATACAGTATTTGTGCTTTTGTGACTGACTAAATTCACTCACCATAATGCTTTCCAGATTCCTCCATGTTATGTTTCATGGATTCATCGTTCTTTATCATTGCATGGTATTCCATTTTGTGAATATACCATACTTTGTTTATCCATTCGTCCATTGATGGGCATCTAGGTTGTTTCCATCCTTTTGCTGTTGTGAACAGTGCTGCAAAGAACATGGCTGTGCAATTATCTATTATTGTGACAGCTCTTCTCCAGGATATATTCAAAGGAGCAGGATTGCTGGATTGTATGATACTTCTAGCTTTTTAAGGAAGCACCAAATTGATTTGTAAAGTCGTTGCACCATTTTACATTCCCGCCAACAGTGTATAAGTGTTCCAGTCTCTCCACAACCTCTCCAGCATTTATTATTTTGTGTTTTTTTGATTAATGCTAGCCTTGTTGGGGTGAGA